AGAGAGAGAGAGAGAGGGGGGGGGGAACAAATGATGGCAGAAGGGAGAACAGATGGATTATAATGATTAGATGTGGTTACATGGAAAATTAAGTCATCATAGCAAGAGAAGCTCATGATATCAGTATCAGAGCTGGTATTCACCTGATGTCGCAGATACTTGTTTTCATTTCGAAGGAGCCTCAGTTCCCGCTTCAGACTCAGTATCATCTTCTCCTTTGGATCCATCTTTACTACTGGCTTACTCCTGATTTTCTTTGCACTGCAAAAAAATATACCGTTTAGTTTACTGAAAAGATACGCCAGTTGCAAACTTCAGACACCTAATCTGATTTCGATGAGGATATGCAACTAATTCTGTCAATCAATAGCAAAAGAAATTCATTAGCAACTAGAAGCGAATCACCAGCGGGTATGTAATCCTTGTGTCATATATATGAGGAGAGTGGGGGAGAGTCGAGAGAAAGAGGTGTGAGGAGAGAGGGGGTGGAGCGTAGAAGCCATCGTTACCGGTTTGCATAGCGGAGTGTGTTTCTCGTCTCTGCACTGTTATGTGAAGAGGGAGAAACGCAGCCGATCATGAGGGTGACGCCGTTGCCTCCCAGGCTGTCAGCTAGAAGCATCGTCAGCTTGCTGTCTCTATAGGGCACGTGCCCAGAGCGGTGCTTGCTGTCGCCTAGCGACGATATACAGTTCCCTGCAGAAGATAATGCGATGCGATCAGCATATAGCGTGCGATTCACATCTTGTGGAAATCCGATTCCCTATATTATGAATATATTATAAACCCCGATTAACTGAAACGATTAGATTAGTTAGAAGTCTGGCTGTCTAGGTTAAGTGCAACACACATCACCCGAGTGACGTCCACCATTCATCTACATTTCATTAATCCACATAATCTAGCAGATTAGTCCGAGATTCAGAGGTATCCGACCGGCCATCGATGTAATTATAATAATATGATTGTTTTGTTATCATATATAGTTCATGACATAATATATAATACGTGTATGTATTATGTATTTATATATTATGTATGTGTTACTATAGTTGTAATGTACTATACATGTATAGTATATATATATACATATTATATATATACATATATATATATAATTTGTCTTTATTAACTTCCTGATATATATATATATATGGTTCAGGACAAATACTCCAGCCTCCGGTACAATGCACCGCCCCGACATGAGCCCCAGACAATTAACCGCCCGACATTTCCCCATTGCCATTCCTACTAATTACCACGGACAATTACCTCCCTCGGACACAATCACCCCCGGACAATTACCCCCGCGTACATTATACGCGCCCAGACATTTTACCCCCATAACAATTACCCCCCGCACATTTATACCAGCGTCCCCGATCATTTACCCCCGGTCCCGAAATTACCACTCCGCTAACTGGTTCCTCCCTTCTCCCTCCTCCTCACTTCCACTGCTTCTCCCCTCCTCCCCTCCTTCTCCAACCACCTTTCTCCCTCTCCTTACCTCCCCTCCTCTCCTCTCTCTCTCCCGCTCTCCACCTCCCTCCTCTCTCTCCTCCTCCACCTTCTCCCCTCCTCTTCTCCACCTCTCTCCTCTCTCCCCTCCCCACCACCACTTCTCCTCCTCTCCTCACCCCCTCTCCTACTACTCTCTCCTGCTCCCTCCTCCTCCACCTCCTCTCTCCTCCACTCACTTCTCCCCTCCTCTCCACCACCTTCTCCCCACGTCCCCCCTCCTCCCTCCCCACCGCGTCTCCTACTTCTCCCCACCTTCTCCCCCTCTCCTCTCCTGCACCACCATTCGTCCCTCCTTCTCGACCTCTTCCTGTATCAACTGTTCAACAATGAAGTAAGATAACAACAAGTGAGTAATTGTCCGGGGGTAAAATCCGGGTATGTCGGGGTAATTGCCGGACGCGGGTAAAATGTCAGAGGACGCTCGGGATAAATGTTCCGGGGTAATTGCTCCGTGGTAAATGTCGCCGGGGGTAAAAATGTTCCATGGGTAAATGTCTGGGGGTAATTGTTCGGGGTAAATTGCTCCGGGGGTAATTCCCGGGGTGAATTGCAGGGGTAATTCTCCGGGGTAATTGTCCGGGGTAATCTGTCCGAGGGGTATCGTCCGGAGGTTATGCCGGGGTATATATTCCTAGAACCATATTTAATATATATATATGATTATAGTTCCTCTCACGC